CCCCCCCCATTTCTCAGCGGATTTGGACTGTACTTAGCAAGCGCAGTACAGCCCCTAACTCAGAAACAATCAGTGGATGGCTGTTTTCTGACTGGTCGGCAGACCGGTCGACCCTACTGGTCGGGTGCAAAACGGTCGGCGGTCGGCAGGTATGCAACCCTGGTCATAAGCGAATGTAGCTAGTGTTAACCAAGGCAGTCACTCGACATGAGCAGAAAGGTTAACAGGTATAGGATGCTGAAGGGTGTGAGAGATGCCCAGCGTTTGCCTCAACATTTTCCCCATCGCAGCACTCCTCTTTGCATGCTAGAATTGAGTGTACCAATCGGCCTGCCGTCTTCACCCATAAAACGCACGGTCATTATTGCTCCATCTGGTCTGAAAGTTGCCCCAATTACAGCTATAATGACCGGGGGTTCTTTTCAGGTGAAGACGGTAGTAGGTTTCTACAATTCTCTCGAGCAATGAAGTTGGCCTGGAAGAAGCGACCCCCAGACAGTTGGAGAAAGAAAAAGGGCCTTGCGCGCTTCCCCGGGCGCCAGTCGATTACACAGGCTGTATGTGAACACGACCTTGACTCTGTGGACTCGGAGCTTCCCTAAGGCACGGTGTGACACAGGACCTTTCGGCCAATGAGCTCGCAGAGGCCAGCAGCAGCCACGTCGTACAGTTAGGCTCAACAAATGAACGGGCCCCAAGGTCGCAGGGTACTGGGAACAGCCGTAGAGGTACTGGGCCTCCACGTGCTGCCTAGCCAGGCCCAGGCAGCCATGCATTTTCCATAAAGGGAAGTGCTTGCAGCCAGTCCAAGAATATTTTGGCTGGCGGATTTTGCGTGAGCTCTGCTGGAGCGCACGCTGGAGGGAACACCCTGGCCAGAGCTGATGCGTGCACGGGCGCTGGTGGAAGAAGCAGCTGGACACTGCATGGCACAGCAGCCATAGGCAAGTTGCATGTGCCTGTTGCCGGTGGGGTTGGTGGTGGTCCTTGGGCATGGTGGTCAGCCTGTGGAGAGACACTCAGGGGATGAGCCTGGGAGAGAGAAGGGACGTACCTGGTGTGTCGTGGAAGTCTGCATGGGCGACGTCTTCATGTCCATCAGTCCGCTGCTGAAATGCTCTGGTTGCATCTTATAGAGTAGGCGAATATAGGTGTTGTGGAGATCGTAGTTGTGTGCCAGGCGCCGTATAGGAGCGACAATGAATACATTGTTGGTGGAGGCAAGATTGGGGCGGACATTGACAATTGAGTTTATTTGTTTGCTCTCATTTGGTGTGTGACTTGGTGCGTTCTGCTTTCTGCCTGACACATGACTATCTGGATTGCAATGTGATGATGCAATTTGGTTTTCTGTCATTCGCTCTCGCTCAGTTTCCTTGCAAAATTTCTTTCATTCTTTTTCTTTTTTTCTATAATGAATAGAAAAGTATTAGAAAGTTATAGAAACTGCATGGGTTTAAATTTCCCTGACAGCTGGGCGACGATGCGATTGCAAGTGGTCTTTTGCTCAACCTGGGTGTGGCGTGTTTGGCTCATGTCTCACAGATCTACAGAGTGAGTGCAACATTGAAGGCAGCACAATTCAAGGTTCACGGAAGCGAGCACAGGTTGTCTTTGTCGTTGCGAGGAATCTTGGGACAGCGGACCGGACAGCTGCAATTGAGTGAAGAGCTGCTTTCTGAGTTCCAGAAGTTGCTTGGTCTCAAGTCTCCGGAAAGCTGGAGGAGGGAGGAAGAGGCACTAAAACGACATCATGATGAAGCACGAGCAGAACAGGATGCGATGGAGGAGCGGTACATACAAGGAATCCTCTCCCTATTGAAGAAGGCAGAAGAAGAATGCTCCTCATTCAGAGGCATGAAAAAAGATCTGATGGGTGGGCTCCCTGCAAGTCTATCACTCAACGAAGGAAGTTTCACTTCAGATAGCGGAGATAGCAAAGAGTGTGTTGATGAAAGAAAGCAGTTAAAGGAGAGCGGACGACAGACTACAAATGCGGAGGACAGAGCAAGCCTTTCACAGGGGCTCCCTACGTACCCAGCAGTCTGGGCAAATGCATTCAAGGGAGATTACGAAGATGGGGGACGAAGGGGACAACCAGACACAAGTCCAAGGGCAAGTGTTGATATGCAGCATCCTATTCGGCGACAGGTAGGTAGTAGTGCCTTTGACGTGCGGAGTGGTGGGAGGCCACCCACTGGCAGCAGAGGGAGACTCAGTCTGGAGGAGAAGGACCTTTGTCATGCTCTGGGGAACAGCGACAGTGGCTCAGCCGCAGAGAGCAGTGATAAGAGTATTGATTGTGTCCACTCATGGTCAAACACTTCTCGATCGGGAGATGGTATGCCATCTCCAGTGAATGTGCTGCACGGATACCACCAAAGCAATCAACAAGATCAGGGCAGCCATCAGCCTGAATCACAGAACAGAGGAGATTGGTCAGGTGGTGGCAGAAGTGGTGGAGAACACGGAAATTTTGCACCGTATGGTGTAGCCGCAGCCCCGGTAGTAAGTTCACCCCTGCATGTCCGACCGCATGATGCAAACTGTGAGCCGTCCGATGGGTCGGGGAAACCACATCACGGCCAGTGGCGCCATCCACCATCCTACGTTCCACGATCAATAGGAAAGGCAGCAGCCCAGCGTGCTGCCGCTATGCAAGAACCTCACGCTCCATCGAGGCAAGAAACACCGTCCATGCGGACCATTGAGGGCATACCGGACATGGTTAAGAAGCTCCAACAACATCGGGAAGAGCCGCAACTGCAGAGTAGCATACTTTATGAACTGCGTCTCCTTACAAAGGTGCATGACGATGCAAGGAGGGTCGTGGCGGAAGTTGGGGGCATTCAGCCAGTTGTACAGTTGCTGGACTCCTCGGATGACAAGGTCGTTGAGGGCTCGGTCACAGTGCTGCTTAATTTGTCTTTGAGGAAGGAGAACAAGGATAGCATCATTGAAGCGGGTGGACTTCCAGGATTGGTGCGGGTTTTGGAGATGGGCAACATGGTGTCAAGAGAGAATGCCGCCGCAGCTGTGTTCAGCCTGTCCATTGTTGACAACAACAAAAGGCTGATCGCAAAGGCAGGTGCAATACCACCCCTAGTTAAACTCCTACAGGAAGGGAGGCCGAGTGGCCAGCGAGATGCAATTGTGGCTCTGTTCAATCTGTCTCTTGCCACAGCAAACAGGTTGATGATTGTCCAGGCCGGTGCAATCCCACCATTAGTGAATTTGATGGCTGAATTTACACCTTGCGCAGAGGACGGTGAAAACGCTTTACCAGAGAAGTCCATCACACTGTTATCGAGTTTAACGGTCATTCGTGAGGGACAAGATGAGCTCGCCGAGTGCGAAGGGATTCCTCTACTGGTTGCCATTCTTGAGACAGGATCATGGAGTGCACGAGAGAGTGCGACATGCGTGCTCCTCTATCTGTGCAAAGGCAACGAGAGCAACAAATGCAAGGTGCTTCAAGAGGTGGTCATCCCGCCGTTGATTGTCGTTGCAAAGTCGAAGCAGGCATCAATGAGAGCAAAAGAGAAGGCAAGCGAGCTGCTGAGATTCTTCCGGGAATCGCGGCAAACTTTCTAAACTCTTCCTGGGAACGTCATGGTCGGCGTCATTCCTTTTTCTTCGGTATTTATGATTAATTCAAGGGCGGCATTATGTCACTCGTCTTGAGAGATGGGCCTGCTCAGGGAAACACATCAAGGTGAGTGTGTTGAGACCGGAGTGTGTGTATAATGGTATGAACGGAAAAAAAAAAAAAAAAAAAAAAAAAAAGTCAATTGAATCATGTGTGGCTCACTGGTGAGAAGCAGGATATAATTCGGAAAGCTTTGTATGACCTTTTTTCCCGCGGTTTTTAAGTCCTTTGGCTGTTGTAGATGAACTCTGATTAAGTTGATTAAGCCACCAGCAGGGTAGATACGTATGCACTCTCCGTTAAGGCTTGGATGCACCCCCAATTAAGGCTTGGATGCAACCCCCATTAAACCACCAGTACACCCGGGCCTGCAGGCCCCTTACCGTGCACCAAGCTTTTCCGAACCGCCAGCGACGCACTTCTCTTTTTTGGCTGGCGCCGCCAGCCATTGTGGTCTGGTATCCCGAGCCTCCGAAACTTTCGTAGGCTACGAGTTTCTTTTTCAGCAAGGCAGGGGCCGCGTACTGGCGGTTTAAGGCTATATTCCTCACAAGTGGATGAACCATTTCTCCAGCTTTTGTGAATCCTCTCATTATTGTAAGCTTCGATTGTACGGAAGTTTTTTTTACTTCGCTAGAGTAAGTAAGTAGGTGCAGTGAAGCTGAGTCAAGTCATTAGATAGTCCGCTGTGTCTAGGTCTCGCGACAGAAATCCAGAAATGGATATCGAACGGTGAACCCTGATGAGGATTGCAGAATATGCGCATAGCTTCTGTCCAGCTGGGAGCGGCCCTTGACATTTGGTTTGCTTCAGCCTGTTGGCTAGGTCAACTCATTTTCAATTTTTTTTTTTTTTTTTTCATTTTCAAATTTCAATCTGATGCCCGTGCGGAAGGCAAGGTGCATGCGGACCCTTGCACGATGCCGGAAATGATTGATGTTCACCATGGTCCGAAGCATGGTTAGACCTGTCCATTGCATCAGTCCCAAAATCGACGCTTCACCTGTGACAGTGCTGGTGCATGGTGAAGCTCTGTGTTGTGGAATGCAGGCTGTGGAGATGGGTCTTTATCTCTGATAGATGGTGGCCCCTCAGAAGTGAGTTCCTCCGTGCCAATAGACCTCCACCTTCTCTTTTTTTCTTTGGATGATCCTTCTTCAGGTTCACCAACGGAAACCTTGGTACAATTTCTCCTTCCTCTTAAGCGATAAGGTACAGTGAATGTCTCACAGCACCCCCAGCGGCGAACCGTCGAGACCACCGCGATCCAGACACTTCACCAGAGCATTCAATCGGTGGGATTGACGGACGGTGTGTACACAGGGCAGGGGCGTAATCAGCGTGAGCTTATGACTCATGCTTTCTAGGCCTTACCTCCATCCTTTTTATTTATTTATTATTATTATTATTTTTTTAAATACCCCGTTCTGCATTGTTTTATAGGCTATCAGTGCTGTGATTCAAATGGCATTCGGACTGGAACCGTGCGGAACAGCTCTCTGGCCCGTTGGTATTGTCCCAGGTATGGGGGCGGCGGATATGTTGTGGACCTGGGATGGGCTGTCTGTTTCTCTGGAAGGTCTCCTCCCGAATTTTGTGCATCGAGACAAGACTTGTAGATATGATCGATCAATAGTTTTAAAACTTTTTAAAACATTTTTGTTCTCCGTCTCTTACAGGCGTTCTGCACTGGGAGCAGAGATCTTCTTGCCTCCCTGGGGACATTTTTGCCAAATGCCTGAGGACTTCGACTGTCGGGTAACTGAGAAAACTTCCCTTTACTCTTTGCGACCATCCGTGTAACTTCTCAAACCACCATAACAGGTTCATAAATAATAATTATTTTCCATCCGACCAAACGTGACAAAGGAGAAGGAAAAAGCACTTCCTTCTCATCCTGGAAAGACAACGTATGTTCGCCAGGCCAGGCACAACCCTGGAGTAGCATTTGCTTTATCTCTGAAAATTTGGAAGCCAGGGACGAAGAAAGAAAGCAGATGAAAGGAAGAGTGGAGCTGGTCTTACCCTTGGCAATTTTGAAAGCGGTGTGGAGCTCGTCGGGGTGTCCAAGTATTCAGCCATTGAGGTAACCCAGTGGAAATAGGGAACCGATACCACTGTATCATGCGGATAACTCTCTCTCTCTCTCTCTCTCTCTCTCTCTCTCTCTCTCTCTCTCTCTCTCTCTCTCTCTCTCTCTCTCTCTCTCTCTCTCTCTNCTCTCTCTCTCTCTCTCTCTCTCTCTCTCTCTCTCTCTCTCTCTCTATCTATCTATCTATCTCTGTGTGTGTGTGTGTGTGTGTGTGTGTGTGTGTGTGTGTGTGTGTGTGTGTGTGCCAATGCCTGCAAGGGGCATCCCTCATACTGTACCCGAGTTCTAAGTTTGGGATCGCCTATGTTAGGCTTTTGATTTGTGTACACTGAATGAAGGATCGAAATGGGGATCCCTGAGTGGAATGTCCTTACGACCACTGTAGTTGTGATTGTTTCAATTGTATCTTATGGCAGGCAGGCCATGATTTTCGGGGCGCTCATCCTTTGACTTATATATCATGGCATGTTCCCTGCTATGCCTTTCTACTATGGTGATCAAGTGTGTTAAATGATGAAAAGAGTTTGCCTCTTTTAAGGCTTGTTGCATGGAAATTTGCGTTGTGTTTTTTTTGGCACTATTTTGCTGAAGTTTTGGTGTACGGGTAAGTGAAAACAAATGAATGGGGAAGGGTTCTACTCTTAAACCACCACCCTGTCTGCGCGACCAATAAAATTCTCACAGTTTGTGCCGGTAGTCAACCCCAGGCTCAGAAAACGGGAACAACGCGAATTTGGTCATGCTGCAAATTGAAACTGGCCCGCACTATGGGCCAGCAGCACTATGGGCTCAGTTGGTTAAGCACGCAAGTGGTATTCAAGAGGTCGTGGGTTCGATTCCCCACAGCATCCATTTGCCCCCCAACAGCCTCCTGCAGCACACTTCAGGCTTGCCGCCTGAGATAGATGGTTGGCCCCCCTGGGCTTGGTAGGGGAATAGGTTCGCCCCTTTCCACCCGTGCTAGGGGTTAGACCGGGGGAAAGGGGCGAACCTATTCCCCAAGTCCAGGGATGGAAAGGGGCGAACCTATTCCCCTACCAGGGGATAGGTGCAGGCTCGACCGATAAGGTTAGATTTAGATTTAGTGGACCGGGGGAAGGTGCGGGCTTGACCGATAAGGCTCAACTCTGAGAGAATACGTAGGCTAGGATAGATGAGGGAGGAAAGCGTCCCGTAGACCCTGCAATCGGACTTAGATAGATATAGGCGTGAGGGTAGGTAGTGTGAGGTATATTGGAGAGAAGAATATAGCATCGTTTTCCAAAAAACGTAAAAAAAGAAACTGGTCCCCAGGCCTTTCGACTTTCCGCTACTGAAACGGTGGGAGCTGAGACAAACAACCAGTCTGCTGCTGCTTTTTCCATGGGGCCTCCAAATCTGAAGAAGCCCAGTCGCAGTTGGGATACCCGGCCGGAGCTCGAAACCGGGAACAGAACATGGGTGGGTGGTTCTATCCACTGGTCCCCATGCAACAATCCTGGTTTGGGGCCTCCAAATCTGAAGAAGCCCAGGTTATGACGGTATATGTGCTGGCAACTGGACTGGTGGGCCTTTTTTTAATCAGCGAGCTCAGGATGTTCCTTCATTAGGCAGGGATAAGAGCCCGTGCCTGATGGAAGGGCCACTGGTTTGGTGGCTTTGGTCTTGTTCATGGGGAGCAGCGCGTGCTGGGAACCGTACCGAGCGTCCCTTCTTTTTTTTTTTTTTTTTTTTTTTTTTTTTTGGACCATTTCTCGATTTATGTGTGGCATCCTTGCGCAGGGGCCATGCTACTCTTCTCTGTATCGTTCCAATTTTAACGGATGTCCTGAAGGACACTTCCGTAATGATTTCTTTTTTGTCTGGTCCCACATGCATCAATTACCCTCTGTTCTTGATGGAACCGACAGTCTCCGTTCCGTTTGACAGGCTTCTGCGGCTAAACCCTTCTTCGCTCCCTGTCCTTCCCTGGCCTCTGTTCCAGGTGAGCTTCTGATAGCCGGAGTCCTTTCGGTCCTCGTCTTATGGACTCGGGCCACGTCTAGCCGCCGCTGTTTGTTTTGCCTTGTCCTCTATGCATGGATGAGTGTCCTCCCGCACTGACCTTGCGAGAGGCAGTATGGGTTGCGGGGAGGGAGGAAAGGTGGGGACCGTTGGACCGCAGTGTACCAAGGGATGGGGTTGGAAATGGGGAGGGAGGCAGCGGAGGGGTGCTGGGGGGAGGTGTATCAGGGAGTGGGGAAGGCAGGTCTATTGAACCTGGTGTGACAAGGGATGGGGTTGGATTTAGAGAGGGGGGCTGAGGAGGGTGCAGGGGGGAGGGGTGTCCGAGCGTGGAGGTGGTGGGTCTGGGTATTGCAGTGCGCAGTGTTACCTGCCCGAATGTTCAGGGGGTAGTCGGATCCACCCCCCTCCCCCAATATTCGGGGGTCTGGCCCGAACGCCAAGCCCCGGAGGCCCCTAGTTCGGGAACCCCCAAATTTTTATTTTTGTTTTTGAAAATGTTTTTGCAGGTTCCTCTGTTTATGCACTATCTCCCTAAATTGTGATGAGCGGGGAAAACAAAAACACTAAAAATCAAAGAAGAATGGGGGTCCAATAACATGAGAAATGGCCCCCCATTTTTTTTTTCTTCTTTTGGTTCGTTTGTTATCAATCAATCAATCAATCACAAAAGGTGATTGATTGATTGATTGATTGTGTGCGAGCACACACACACAGACAGACGTGCATGTGCCAGAAACACACACACACACACACACACACACACACACACACACACACACACACACACACACACACACACACACACACACTCTGTTGCATACTTGTGAGTACTTCAACAAGTATGGGCAGAACCAAGAGATCAACCAATATAGGATGAGCATGTATGCAGTGGAAAGTCTGATAAATGGACTGACTCACATAGACTGACTCACACAGATATCACTCCGCACACGTGAGATGGTGCGGTCTGAGCCAAGCATAGACGATGCTCAGGCCCCGTACACACATACACAGATGAAAGGTGGGAGAAGAGACGAAGGAGGTGGGAGATATAGGCAGCGCCAGATGTCACCGAGATAGAATCCAGTAGGTCACCGATATGGTAGTCCAAAATGTCATCGAACAAGATCAAAATGTCGYGGACAATAAGTCACCAATGTCAGAGGTACAGAGTCCTAATGTAACCGGTGTCCAATCTGTGGTGCCGCCGAGTATCAACCCCAACAATCTCCAAGTCTCGAATCCGGTAAGTACCACAGCCTCTTACCACCGAAGTCCAACACTGATCTCTGTCCAACTAGTATCAAGTCTCCGATCTGAAGAAGAAGAAGAAGTCTGAAGAAGAAGGAGAAGAAGAAGAAGAAGAAGAAGAAGAAAAAGAAGAGAACAGAGGAGGAGAGAGGTGAGGAGGAGGGGAACCAGGGACCGTGGAGGGAGGAGAAGACCTCACCCCCGAGTACCTGGTGTACTGCAACTGACTGAAGCCGAGATCGGCTATGGCTGCCTGCTGCCTGGCTCCTCGCTCGCTGCTGCTGCTGCGCTAGCTGCGCGGCTGCTGCTCCTCCGCGCTGCGCTAAGAATAGCGCTGGCGCTAACGCTCCTCTGCTGAACCGAAACAAACTGGCGCTACCGCAGCGTCCAGTTGCTCGATGCCTCACAATGAGGCTGGACCGGTCTTTTGTACCGGTGGAAACGAGGCCGGCCTCAATGCTGCGAGGCCTGGCCGTGACCTGAACCGTCGAGATCGTCGGTTCAGATCAGACCGGCGGGCGGCAGCCTCAAGAGCGCCGCCAGGCCCAAACGGTAATGTCGTTTGGGCCTGCCCGTCGGGTCTGGTCCAAAATGCGGCCTTTCGGCCTGCTGTACCCCCAAGTCTGGGCCTTTAGGCCCTACTGTGTCCCCTTGGCCCTAAGCCGGGTCCGGTAGGACCCGTGTGGCATCAAAGATGTAACACGCACACACACACA